TTTGTCATCAGAATCATTGTTTATCAATATGACAACAATAAAAATTTATTTTAGAAACGTAATATTTTCTCTTTGACATCGTGTTTATAACTACATTTTTAAACTTAAATATCTAAAATATTATTCATATATAATATAATTGTGGGTTAAATATTAGAAGGTTATAATTAATTAAAAAGTATAATTTGGGTGGACACTGTGTCCGTGAATAAGTCTAACACAATTCTTTTCTTGGTTAATTATTATAAATTTTAATACAAATATTTATATAAATCAATCAAGATCAACATCCATATAATTATTGCGAATGACCTCATTGATATTATAACCAGGCTCCAATTGAGTGAGGCGATGCTCCATCAACCTATTCTTCTCCTCCAGACGCCATTGATTTAACATTTGAATCTTATTCCTAATTCTTTCCATTTTATAGCGCAGGTAGAATAAAGTGCCTTTGAAACCAATACCGGCGCACACTATAGCCGCTACAGCCCATCCAATTCCACAACCAATGCACACCCCTATAACCCAATGGGGTAAGCTGGCAAAGGTGTAAAACAAATAACCTAAACCTGCACTGCCCACCAAACCAGCAATAGCACCAAGCACGCCCGGTATAGTAATGTACGCGTAAAACGAGCTCTAATTATACATATTTATATTGATAAATGAACAATGTATAGCTTTAGTCATTAATTAAGTTAATACGAAAAAACACCCAGGAGCCCCTTTTAAACCTTCGCTCAGGAGGCGTCTCATATTTGGGTATTTTATAGAGGGTGTGCGAACCATTAATAATATATATTTTAATTCTGTTTTTGTTTGTTTTGATAATTTGTGACCAGATCGGTACACAAATTGTTCCAGATAAATTGCAGTTTTATACATAATCATTAATTCAAAGATCAACGGATTAAATATTTAAAATAACACCTTAATTCAGTTAATTTATTTATTTTATAAATTATTAATTAAAATTGTGTCTATTCAGTAAATTAATGTATATGCATGCCATCTGGAACTAGGGTTGCCAACTCTAATTATTTTTAAACTGGAAGTTTGCAGTAATTAAACGAAATTTCCTTGATAATCCTGGAGAAAACTATTTTTGCTAAAATTGAGTAGCAGCTCAATATTTATAATTTTTTATATACAAAACTCGTGATTCTTATATGATTTTAAATAAAATTTTATACAATTTGTTTTAATAATTATTTTCTAGATTATTTTGAAATTTAGTTAATAAAATCTTTAACATTGTTTTTATCAGGAATTATAATTTTAACATTTGTTATAATAACTTATCAATAATAATAATTATATAATTTCAGGAAAATATTAACTAATAAACTAACAAAGTAGTTAACTATACTAAAATCAATTGTTAATATTTGGCGAACACTAAAACTATATTTGATTTTTAATGTTTATTGTAATATTATTACTATTAATCTGAATAATCAAAATATAATCAAATTATATAAATAAATTATATTAAAATTATATTCTAATCAAAATATACAGTATTTTATATTGTAAACTCCAGGATTTAATGTAAAAGCTTTAACACCAGATTTTATTTTAACCTGTAACACAATTTTGGACATTGCAACTTTACCAAAATTTATAATATATAACATGCATTAACAAAATTTTAAAATTTTAAAAATAGCGATGTATTAAATTTACAATTTTATTAAAAGTACACAACACTAGTAATATAAACTTTTAATACTAAAATTAGTGACTGAAATTACAAGCTATTTTATTAATCACACAAAAATACACATTTAACTATTAATGTGTTGAGATTTATTTATATTAAAAACTAATAATTTCTAATATTCAATACAAAATATCAATGATTAATCAAAATATTCATGATTAAAATAAAAAACATTTGTATTATAGTAAATTATTCATTAAGGATTAAAAATACTAGTGTTGTATTAAATGATAAGTAATCACTATGCCTTACAACTTAGCTTGGCTCTGGAGCCATATTATGTTAATGTATGTTATATAATATTGATTTTTTAAAAATTTATTTCCTGGAGATCCTTACTTCCAGGTCAGACCTCAAACTGGATCCAGGAGTCGGACCTCGATTCCTGGAGAATCCAGGCCAAACCTTGAGGTTTGGCAACCCTATCTGGAACACTGCGTACAAATACGACAAGAAATAATTTGATTTAGTCGGACTAAAATATATATTATTAATAAGTACCGCAGTCACAATAAAATTACCAAATAAGAGACGCTCTATGGGCTGAATAAAAGAGCCACTTTGTCAGTTTTAAAATTAGCCCTTCCCTCTACACGGCTTTAGGAATTAATTATCATTGCCCATTGCTACGAAAAGCTCCCTACCAGTGCAAGCTAGTTGAAAACATGGAGCAACGAACGTAAATTTACTGGTTATGATTGTCATCAATAGTTAGAAACATAATTAACATATTGAATTGATTAAACTGCGAATTGAGTAAATTAGCTTGTTGAACTTAGATTCAGCCATCGCTGACACCGTGATTCTGTAATCAAAATAACAAGTTTTGAGGACTAACATAAACACCTTCTAAGTGTTTGTGCAATATGTAATCAATGGATAAGAATGTATAACTTTTAAGTGCTTTCCAAATTAAATAAAACTATTTAACTAAAGAAAACTACTATATTAATAATATTTCCTTAAAAATAATAATTATTAATTAATTCTTTAAGTTTCCAACTTAGTTTTGTGTGAGCAAACATTTTATCACACATGTTCTTCATTATTAATTTATTCAATATTTACCTCAGGGTTAAATGCAACGCCGTATCTCCAGACTGTAACCATGTGACCGCAGTTATTGAATAGTAGGTTGTAATTGAAATTGGGATTATTTTTGAACGCCGACAAATCTGTGTAGATATCTATCATGATTTTCTCCTCTGATTTAGCTGTATAGTTTTTCTTTTTAGCGTACTCGGTCAGATTGTTGACCCGGCACATTCTATACAGTCCGCCGCAAGCCAGGTCAGTCATCTCAAGAATTCCGTGAAATGATCCTTTATTGCCTGTTGTTGTCAAGTGGGCAATCTTGTAATCACCCATGTAGATTCCCCAATGAAAACAATTATCACCCTTGTACTGTATGATATCGCCGTTTTCCACAATAATCTCACCGGTGTGAATTTTCCGCTTAAATTCGACCATCTCCTCGAATTCATTGGGACAACCCGTAGACATAAACAAATTTCTTACAAGTTCCAAGCCTTTAGGTATTGAGCTGCACACGCTTTTTACCGATCCGGCTGATTTTTGTATTGATCGGGAAAATGATTCCGATTGATTTGAGCAACAATGTTTCGACCACAGTGTCATCGTTTTATTCGATTGGTTCAAATAATTACGGTAGTGTTGCTAACAATAATTTGGTTTATAGAAGTTATTTTATATTTAAATTGCCTTTACAAATGAAGCGAAATAAAATATAAATACGATAACGAGTCTCAAACATAACTCCTTTACAATAAGTTGTCAATCATTACTCTATTTATTGAAAAAATTATTCATTACATGAGTGCCTTTCAGTTGTTAACTTTGACTGTTATAATGGGATCATGGATTTTATATATAATCATATATAATCATAATAGATTTTCGGTGTTTACGAGGTGTTTAGCACTTCATTGTCTTTAATCGTCAAATTTATAATATCTGAAAACATAGATATAGAGAATATAACAGTTAATGCTATACAACTGTGAAAGCACTCCATTACAAATATTTTTGTAATAACCTAAAGTGAGTATTTGAAAACTAATCATTAAAAGGTTATGTTTCGGCTCGTTTACATTCATTGACTGTCAATCACATCATGAATATATAATATATGAATCAAAAGTAAAAAAGTTAAAATACTGACCAAATATTTATACACTTTAGTTACAGTTATACTACGCCCAGTAAGTCTTGTATGTTAGCACTGCTAACATATTTAAATATAAATGGCTACTTGACTGACTCATTAAACAGGGACCAAAGAAATGACATATTTATACATAATCTAACTCCCGTACACTATTTTAATCTATGTTAAGGTAATCTTATCTTTTGTATACTAGTGCTGATCATTAAAATGTAATAACCTTGGTAATATTGAAATAAATAATTTAATTATCAAGCTTTAACACATTTTAACACATCCCATTAAGTAATTTAATAATACTCTTTGATAGGCAATAATTTTAACAATTTTTATCTACAGTTTTTTCATAATAAGTTCAGTTATTATAAGTTTATATTATAAACTTTATAAGAATTGTACAGAATTACGATTGCCATCTACACCACCTTGCTGCAAACATTGAATCACACACTTATAAATAGGCTATTGTCACAACAGCCATCATATTAATTTATACAGCCCTATAACCCAGTAATCCATTTCCACTTATGATTAAAGTTATTACACTTAATATTCTCTGAATACCACTTCCATTGACTCATAGACTTAATTAACTTCAAGAATATTCTCTACGATTCTATGGCTATCTTAATGACACCCCAGAGAGTGGGACCGCATGTGAGGAATTCCTATTATTATAAGTAATTAAAATTGATTTGTAATTATAATAATTAGTTTAAAACTCAAATTTCTAATAACTAACAACATTATATAACAATATAATATACTTGTAAGATTTATTATACACGCTAAGAAATATAGCGTTTAAGTAAGTGTTTAAGTTAAATAACAAATAACTGATTGTTATAACAAATCGATAACAAATACACATATTGTATAATAATATAACTTTATTTTATTGAATTAATTGTATTTTATGACAACATTTTTAACTTAAAATATTTAAAATATTATGCATATATAATATAATTGTGGGCAAAAAAATAGAAGCCTATAATTAAGTGACAAAGAATAACCTGGGTTAGCACGGTGTCCGTGATTAAATCGAACACAATTCTTTTCTTGGTTAGTTATTAAACAATTAAATTACAATCAAGTTAAATATTAATAATTATATAAATCAATCAAGATCAACATCCATATAATTAATGCGCATGACGTCATTGACATTATAACCAGGCTCCAATTGATTGAGACGATGCCTCATCACCCTATTCTCCTCCTCCAACCGCCACTGACTCAACATTTGAGTCCTATATTTAATATTTTGCTTTTTATAGTACCGGTAGAGATAATCGCCGCCGATGCCAATACCGATACACGCTATACCCAATACACCAAATCCAATTCCGCACCCAATGCACATCCCTATAGCCCAATGTGGTAGGCTGGCAATGGTGTAAAACAAATAACCAAAGCCTGCAGACCACACCAAACTAGCATAAGCAGCTATCACACCCGGTATAGTAATGTACGCGTGTATCGAACTCTAATTATTTATATGGATAAATGCATGCCTTTAGTCATTAATCAAGTTAATTACGCTAATTATCAGAACACACCCCCTTTAAAGGCCCCCATTTAAACAGCCGCTTAAGAGACATCTCTTGTTTGAGTATTTTATAGGGAGTGTGGGACTCATTAATAGGCTCATGGGTTTGACGCGAGAAACCGGTTTAAACCAGTTCTAATAACACAAAATTTTATACATGGTGTAAATGCAAAACATGTGTTGTTTACCTGAGATAAGAATCACATGTGAAAATTTGTTGAAAAATATTTTATTTACTGTAAACTTATTTTAAAGTAAAACAAGTGTTTTAAATGTGATTTTTGTGTAAACTGTTTGTGACATTCACTTCAATCGGATACATATTTCGCATATAAATTAACACTAATTTTGTGATAAAACACGTGTTTTTTGTAATCTGTTTGTGACATTCACTCCAATCGGACATAAACTTCTTGTTTAAGTGAAAACTATTTGTGATAAAACACGTGGTTTTGTAATTTCATAAAATTTTTTACAATGTTTACACCCTGTACTACTTTTACAAATATAATAAAATAAGATCTGCGTCAAACCCATGAGCGTACTCATTAATATATATATTTTGATTCTGCTTTTTTGTGTTTTGATAATTTAACATTATACACAATATAAAACACTACAGTAGTTGAGTTCATTATTTATTTATTTGATACATTATCAATTAAAGCTTGTTCTATTCAGTAAATTTATGAATTTGTATAAAACTTTGCATGATTCCTGGAACACTTTGCTTACCAATATTACTAGAAATAATAAGATGAAAAATAAAGTGTGTATTCATTAGTATTTAGTAACCGGACTAATTTAATTATGTCGCACGCGCTGTATATGATTATCGTTTCTGAACAAGAGTTTAAGCTATAGTCCATCATATAATAGATCAATGATATACCATAACATTGTTTGGAATTATAAGGGAAAGGGATGATAAGCAATCAAACCTTATAATTTATAAAAACTGGTGTCCATAATTGATAATTTATTTGATCATAAATGATTTAGGTTATTTAGTGCGTGAAAATAAAAGCATTGTTATGGATAGTCACTAATTAGGATTGTCAATCATAATGTGAATATTCAAAAAATATTAAAAATTTAACTCTAAAAATGATATCTAAAAAATTTACAAGGCCTGAAAGCAAAATGTACTAATATAATGTAATCCTATTTAAATGCCTATATGTCCAAAAAAAACTGAATCCCTCAAAACGTAACGCAGGCCCGTCCCAGTAAAAAGTATTGGACATAATGTAAAGTCAGAATCTATGAGATCAGATGCACCTAAAAATATGACTGAATTTAAATAAATTTGGAATATTTCAAAAACAATCGTTAAAAACATGGGAAGCCTGTGAGAAGCCTCATATATATTATCAGTCAGTTCTATACCCTCTATATAATACCCTAATACGAGGCACCTCTTGAGGGGCGGTATAAAGGAATTGCCTTGTTATTTAAAAAATTATCCCCTTCACGGTAATAGGATTAATTATCATTGCCCATTAATACGATTCCCTCCCCATGCAATCTTAATGTAGTACGAACAAACATTTTAGCACCCATGAACGTCAAAATCATTTATCCAATATTTACCTCAGGGTTAAACGCCACGCCGTATTTCCAGAATGTGACCATGTGCCCGCAATTATTGAATAGTAGGTGGTATTTGTAATTGGGATTATTCTTGAAAGCCGATAAACCAGTGTAGATATTTGCCATGATTTCTTCCCGTGATTTAGCTGGATAGTTTTTCTTTTTAGCGTACTCGGTCAGGTTGTTAACCCGGCACATTCTGTACTGTCCGCCGCAAGCCAAGTCCGTCATCTCAATAATTCCGTGACTTTGCGACGATAACAACGTATTTTTACCTATTGTTGTCAGGTGGGCAATGTGACAATCACCCATGTAAATACCCCAATGAAAAATCCCATCACCCTTGTACTGTATGATATCACCTGTTGGGACAATTATCTCACCAGCGACAATTTTCCGCTTAAATTCGACAACCTCTTCGAATTGATCGGGACAATCCGTAGACATAAACAAATTTCTCACAAATTCCAGGCTTTTAGGCATTGAGTGACACACGCTTTTTACCGATCCGGCTGATTTTATTATAGATCCGGACAATGATTCCGATTGACTTTTGCAACAATGTTTGGACCACATTGCTATCGTTTTATTCGATCGACTATAATAATTACGGTAGTGTTGCTAAAAATAATTTGTTTTATAAGAGTTATTTTATTTTTAAATTTAATGTACACCTGAAAAGAAATAAAACATAAACCTCAAGCTCAACCCCTTTACAATAAGATGTCAAATCATTACTTTATGTATTGAAAAATTCATTCATTACTGGAGTGCCTTTCAGTTGTTTAGCTCTGACTGTTATAATGAGATTTCGATTTTTATAGATTATCGGTGTTTATGGGGTGTATACTATACACCATTCATTGCAATAGTATAACACTGGGTGTCATTTGCCTATTTTTTAACCTTAGTAAATGACACTATTTGTCACTTTTGGCATTAAATTCTATACACTTTATAGCACTTCATTGTCTTTAATCGTAAATTAATATTTGAAAAGTTAAATGGATTGGTTATAACAATAACTATATAAACTGTGAGGGCACTCCATTACAAATATGTTTGTCATAACCTAAAGTGAAGATTTAAGGGCTAATTATAAAAAGGTTATGTTTCGACTCGACGCCAATCTTTGGCTGTCGACCACAACATGAATATAATATATGAGCTGGGGACAATCATGGTAACGTTAGATATTTTTATTAATACTTTAAAATCCAGTAATATTTTAACATGATGTCATAGTACTATTCGTTTAGCTTAAACCTATGTATATTTTATGAATAATTGACTTTTGGATAAAATCAATAATTAGATATAATAAATATAAAAAATCTAACGTTACTATGATTGTCCCCAGCTCATATTATGTGGGCTTATGTTATACTGAACTAAGTGTTTATTGCATTCAGACGGTAAATATGGCGTAGGATTTATACTCTAATATACTATTCAACAATATTAAACTATAATTAATATAATATTTATGCTTTGGTTACAGCTTGAATACAGTAAACACTTAGTTGGATCACTTAATGGCACGTTGAGGGTCATAAAAAGCGCTAAAAGTTAAAATACTGACCAAATATTCACAAACTTTAGTTACAAAGTTTGACAACGCCTGTAGTACTTGTTTGTTAGCACTGCTTTAAAAACATAAGTGTTTACTCAACTAACTCATTAGACAGACAACTAAGAAATGACAAATTTATATATAATCTTACTCATATACACTAATTTAATCTATTTTCATGGGCACTTATCTTTTGTACGTATTTTTTATTGCATTATTTGCATAACTCTATGCACGCCAATGAATATAATATAATTTAGTTTAATACGAAAGATTTTATAAACATATCACATATTATTAAATTATTATTAAATTACTTATAATTAAAGCATCCAAATACAGTTATTTAACTATTTGTTGGGATATCGGAGAACTTCATGAAATTAAGTATGCATACGAATCATGTAATAAAGGTCATTTTAGGAGACTTTTATTTTACCTATAAATAACTATTTGATGGGTTCGTAACTATTTTAATTATTTTAGATATTTATGCATAATAAGGGCAAAAATGGTAAAATTTAAGATAATCTATATAAAAATAATTATTTTAATGAGTAAAATAAACTATAAATTTAATTGATTTATATTTCGCACAAATACAAAATATACTGTAATTCTACAAATATACTAAAACCTTTAAATCCCATAGTTTATAAGAAATCAAAATTGAATTTTTCTTTAGATATTTATTTAATCCTGTTTATGGACTAAAATAAGGTTATATTTACGAGTTAATTGATGAGAATAGTTAATTAGTTGTCAAAATTCATAAATAATGCAAATTATTTGTCATTATACTCATTTATAAAGGGATTTTACCTAAAACTTTAGGAAAATAAATAACTATTTAACCAACTATTTGACCACTTTTTGTTAACTATGATAGTGACTATAAGGGTCTTTTATACCACCTAGATTTGGATGCTTTACTTATAATATATAACTTAGATTAAATATATTTGTTGTTATTTGATATGTATTGGTGCTATGTGTTTTTCAATATAAAAATAAATTATAGAAGTATACTTAGATATTAACCAATTTTTATTTTATAAATAATATTTTTATCAACTATTTAATATCTAAACATTTATTTAAGTTCATTATTTGGCATAACCCATTATGAAATTAAACTATTTTGTTTATAATTACTGAATATTAATTAAATCATGTTAAGCTATTAGAGATATTAAAAAATTTAATTATCTATACACCGAGTATGTAATTATTATATGGGAATGGCAATTATCTAATCATTCCCATGACTTAAATGCTAATTAGACATATTACACCGATAAACTATATTTCACATTTAGTGATTAGTATATTATAACACCACCCTTTTATTAATGCTTACATAAGATTAAATAAATAAATATATAAGATTATGTGTACTGTGGCGTGCCTGGGTACCACTGGAGGCGTGTCACCTTTGTAGGAATGCCATCAGTTTTGGTGACACAAACTCAATTGCTACATTCCACGGGCCAGGCAGCATGAGACCAGTGTCATTTAAGGGTGCGCCACACTATTTAAAAGTGAAATTTGTATTAAACATTGTTTTTTATTATTAATAGCTATAATAACTTATTTGTGAATCAAGTCATGGTTTGTTTTACTTTTGAATTTTGTTTATCAAACAAATAATAAACATTAAAAATATGTTTAATTCCAAAAACATTAAAAACTATAATAATTAAATAAATACTGCTAAATATGAGCAAACTAAAATAATTTATAATATTTCGGGTTAGCAAACGCGCCAAATTATATTTTTATATAACTTTATTTTATACATCATTGTAAGGTACACATTTATTGGCCTTAAACTATAATTATTAAAAATTTTACATTTATTACAAGGTGAACTCTAATCATGTCCAATTAAATAATAATGCATACCATCAAAATATTAATATCGTGTCTTGTTAAATTAATTACAGTTGTAAATAACAAAATAATTTAACTTAATCTTGTAAACAAATTTATGTCAATTATTTAATAGAAAATAGTGAATTAATAAATAAAATATCTTTATTTGATAAGTAAATCGCAATGCTTATATTAATGTTTATTCAGAAAATGTAATAATCCTGGTAATATTAAAATAAATTATAATAATTGAGAAAGTTTTGAGGAATCTAATTAGATTATTTATTAATACACTTTATTAGGTAATAATTTTAATAATTTTAACTGTAGCTCTTTCATAATAAGTTCAGTTAGTCTATAAGAATTGTACAGAATTACAACCGCCATCTACACCACCTTGATGCAAACATTCAATCACATACTTATACATAGGCTATTGTCACAATAACCATCATATTAATTTATACAGCCATATAACCCAGTAATCCATTTCCACTTATGATTAAAGTTATTACACTTAATATTCTCTGAATACCACTTTCATTGACTCATAGACTTAATTAACTTCAAGAATATTCTCTACAATTCTATGGCTATCTTAATGACACCCCAGAGAGTGGGACCGCATGTGAGGAATTCCTATCGAAATATGTATCGCATATGAGAACAATAAGTATCAAAATTAATCTCCAGGGGCTTATGAGACGGGTATTTTTGGCAGTTATGTGTATTCAATAATAACGCATACAATAAACACTCGCTATATATAACACAAAACGGATATAATTTTTATAATAACTATTATTATGGCAAATATAGTCAATAAATATCTATCGATAATAACTCCCGGGGCTTGACTACTGTATATGTATTCCCAGACGTCTATTATTATAAGTAATTAAAATTGATTTGTAATTATAATAATTAGTTTAAAACTTAATTTTCTAATAAATTAAGATTTATTATACACGCTAAGAAATATAGCGTTTAAGAAGTGTTTAAGTTAAATAACAAATAACTGATTGCTTTGCAAATCGATAGCATTTCTATGACAATCATAACAATCATTATGGAGTTAATAAGAAAAGTATATTTTGTTTATTTAAATACAACATATAAACCATTGATTGCACATTAAATGTATTGAGATTCATATACAAAAGCATAAGACTTTCATGAATTTTACATTATATTTTCAATGACTTTAACTCATTTAAAAATATGTTAGCAGTGTATCGAAATACATTTTGTCAAATAATATATTACTTTATAAGTCAGTTAAGTCTATACTTATTTTTTAAAATATAAATATATAAAAAAAGTTATAAACTAAAATAAAAGGGCAATAATATGCCTGCCAATTTACTTTTATCAATAGATTCTCATATTATTTTTATTAAATATATATTTTTTAATACAGCTTAAAACAATAAATAATAAATTTATTTATTTTCGTTTTGTTATGTTAAAAGTGCAATAATTTATATACTCTATATTAATTTAAATCAAAAACCTTCTAATTATAATTTTATAATTAAATTATGTTAAAGCTATTTATAAAAATTTATAATATTTTAATGTTTATGATATACATAAAAAATAATCATAAATACAATAAACGATATTTCCGCTTTTTGATTTTAAAAATATATCCGTATAATTTACATTATACTATATATTTTATTACAGTTTAATATTTCTAATTCATTTTATAAACCTTAAATAAATTAATAACATAATGTCAAATAATCTCTCAATTATAAAACTAAAAATTATTTGTCAAAAAGTACTTCGAGTACATGCAAGTGTTTAATACTTTTACATCATACAAAAATGAATGTAAAATAATTCATACTTTAATACAATAGCTTACGTATGAAAACAACAAAAATCAATAGAGAAAGCAAAACACATGTCACAAAACACTTATACAATACGTGTTGTGAGTATGTGTTGAGACATATTTCACTTTCTTATATTAATTATAACTAAACAGAATATTCTGGTTATATATTTAAGTTTACTTTTATCGACATGTGTATAGAAAATGGAATAACAGAGTATACATTCAAAACATATTTTATATATTCGTAACAATAGCCCAGAATATAAAGAATATTTTTTATGTATATTATTCTCAAAGTATAACAAAATAGTGATTTG